CGCATTGGATACACGGATACATGTTCTCGCATGTATCCTTGAGGCAATCCTGTCCCAATGACGGCCAGAGCAAAACTTCAGTATTGACGTCGCTAGTCTGGGCTTCAAAATCGACATAAGCCGATATACGCTTTACGAATCTCCTGCAAGCTTTGACTGCGATGCTAGAGGAAAATATGGCTTTGGGAGGTACATGTAGATGACTTCGTTAGGTCGGTGTCGTTTGGGCAGTCTAGCCCGGTGCAGGTTGCTCGGTGCCGATTGGAACGACCGGTGAATGAACCCTCGCGTCTCCTTGTCGCAACACAAGTTGCCGCACAGAAACCGGGGCCATAAGTCGGCGGGCGGTTTGTACATACGCTTCTACATGACACAAAAGAGGAGTCTACGTGTGCAGCTATCAAATCAGAGCTTTGAGGATTAACCATTCATGCGCTCCTGCGAATGTCGATTCGGCCACGAGTCATTCAGTTTGACGAGACTGTCGTGTCGGAAGCATCTTTGGTCCAAAATCAGCTAGAGCAACTTTAACCATAACATAAACTGCCTTTAGAAACACAGCCGAACGTCCATCGATCCGTGGACTATAGGTATGGTGGAAGGGAATTAGTTGGTTACCACGCTGAGCGTTGAACATTACATGTAGCGCGTAGGCAATTCACATCATGCGAATCACCTGTCAAACAAGGGACGTAATCGATATTATAGCACGGAGACCATGACAGCTCGATTTCAAAGCCTCACGACGAAGCAGTTCTGCCAGCTAAGAGCTCGGCTTGCTGACACTTTCATTGCAGGGGACAACGTAAACAGCTCGCTGCGATATTATTTCCTATTCCTAAAGTTTTTTCTTTCAATTTTCACTTCAACTTTGCGTTTTATGATGTCGTGTACACACATATATGTGTGCACATCGTCATTCTCGAGAACAAAGTCTGGATCGAAATAGGGAAGACTAACCCAGCCTCGAGCAGCGAGCAGCGAGCAGCGAGTAGCGACAGCGACGCGGCAGGCTGACGGACATGGAGGGCGACTACTCGCATTGCGATCTGTCAGGCCCGGACTTTGAGGGTGAGCTGACCAAGCGCAGCGTGTGGCTCAAGGAGTGGCGCAAGCGTTACTTCGTGCTGAAGGGCAACAAGCTCTACTTCTGCCGGGCACAGGGCGAACCAGCGCACGGACTTATCGACCTGGCAGACTGCCTGACGGTCAAATCGGCCGAGGAGAAGACCAACAAACGCTTCTGCTTCGAAGTGGCCACGCCCGACTCGACCTTCTACATGTACGCGGAGAACGAGAAGCAGAAGGACGAGTGGATCGGGGCTATCGGGCGCGCAATCGTCAAGTTCTCCAGCTCCTTCACGGGCGACCAGGACGACGACGCTAACTAACACACGACAGCTATCGTAGGGACCAGTACAGGACACGTGAAATGCATATAAAGACTGATGAAGAAGACGAAAAAATTATTTACAACTTTGCAAGAAAAGAAAAAAAAAATACGGTAAGAAAAAACTTGTGGAGTCCAGGTGGGCAGAAGCTTGACACACTGCTTCATGCGCAGTGCTTCCCGATATGTTTGAGGCCGCTTACTTTTCAGACAGCACCTTGAAGAGGCTGGGTACCACCTCCATGCGCCAGGGTCCTCCTTCCAGCACTTCGCCGTCGATGTTCATGCAGTCGTCCAGTTGGTCAGGCTCAATCTCGACGGCCTTGACCTTCAAGTACGAGATCAGTTCGCTCTGGAGCTCCTTGCCCATCAGATACAGACCGAACAGCTTGGCCACGGCTACCAAACCGCCCTTACGGGTGAGAATGAGATCCAAATTGCCATCTGAAGGGTGCGAGTAAGCGCCGTCAGGAGTGATGTTGACAACGCCCACCACAACGTACTTGCTGCAGTCCTCTTTCCACAGGAACTCGGGGTATCTCTTACGACTGGCAGGACTTGAAATACTGCCAGCGATGCCTCCCCACGACTTGCGTTGCTGACTGAAGCGGTCCATATCGTACACTGTGCCTTCCTCCACTTCGAACTGGTCGAGTGCACCGGCATCCGGATAATCGTCGTACCGGAGAAGTGGCGGCTGCGGTTCCGTCAACACGTACCGGACACGGCCACTGTGTTTCTTGGGCAACACAACGGTGCGCTTCACCTTGAGGAAAGCATATCGTAGTGTACCCATCCAACGGTATCGTTCCGACTCGGCAGCGATGTCGCCTGCAACACCCCAGCCGAGACCGCAGTAGCTGTAGTGCACCACCTCCGGGTTGGCAGCAGACACAGCCGTCACCACATCCAGTGGACGCATTTTGCGCTTCAAGATGCAGTACAGAGCGGCGTTGACTGTCGGGATACCCGCCCCCGTGCCAAAGGCGTTCTGGGTACCGGCTGAAATGAGCGAAATGGGCGTTGACGCCACAATTTCGCGCCATTCATGCTCTGGACGAGTGAGTAGTCCATTCATGAACTCACATAGGGTTCCGTCTCCTCCGATAAACACGAGGGCTTCAAAGCCATCGTCAGCCGAGTAACTTTTACCCATTTCGGCACCATGGCCAGAATGGGTCGTTTCTTCCACTACGCAATCAAAGTTACCCAAATCC